GTGCAGGGGTGGGCAAACTTTCTGACTCGAGGGCCACAATGGGTTCTTAAACTGGACCGGAGGGCCGGAACAAAAGCATGGATGGAGTGTTTGTGTGAACTAATATAAATTCAAAGTAAACATCATTACATAAAAGGGTATGGTCTTTTTTTTTTTTTTAGTTTTATTCATTTCAAACGGGCCAGATCCGGCCCGCTGGCCGTAGTTTGCCCACGGCTGGGCTGGTGGGAGGAAAAATCAATTTATACAAGAGCCGGAAGTCTGAGAAGATGAGGCACTATCATCACAAAGACCATCTTAACAATTGGACATAGACAGGGGTTTTTGTAGGGAGGGAGGAGGAAGCAAAATTTTTAAAAAGGAGGGGTTTGAGAGTTCTTCATTGAGAGTTCTACATGGAAGCCAAAATAGTCAGTTCAGATAACTGGGTGTAGGTCAGCAAATCTCCCAGAGCCAAATATCTGAAGGATGGAGTCTGCTTCTTTTGAAGTTAGTTCCTCAAACTCTTAAGCAAACAAGCTAGCTGCAGTCACACATTAGTTAACAGGTCATCATTTATAGAAACAACTAGAGGCCCGGTGCACGACATTTGTGCACTGGGCAGGGGGGAGTCCCTCAGCCCAGCCGTGCCCTCTTGCAGTCCAGGACCCTCAGGGGATGTCCACCTGCCTGCTTAGGCCTGCTCCTCAGGATATCCCCCCAGGGGCCCTTAGCACTCCTGCCACTGCCACTGCACTCAACAGCCTTGAGCCCAGCTTCTGGCTGAGTGGTGCTTCCCCTGCGGAAGTGCACTGACCACCAGGGGGCAGCTCCTGCATTGAGTATCTGTCTCCTGGTGGTCAGTGCATGTCATAGCAACCAGTTGTTCTGCCATTCAGTCGATTTGCATATTAGCCTTTTATTATATAGGATGTTAAAAGAATGGTAAGATGGGTTACATTCTAACTGCTCTTCTTCAAGATTCTTAGTTTCTGCTTTACTATTATTTCCCTTTTCATGTAACTGGCTTGCTGGTACCAATTATATTCACTTTTAAAATATATATTTTTATTGATTTCAGAGTGGAAGGGAGAGGGAGATAGAAACAAGGATAAGAGAGAATCATTGATCAGCTGCCTCCTGCACACCCCCTACTGGGGATCGAGCCCACAACCCAGGCATGTGTACTTGACTGAAATCGAACCCTGGACCCTTCAGTCCACAGGGCGACGCTCTAGCCACTGAGCCAAACCATCCAAGGCAATTTTCATTCCTATGACCACCACAAGTTTTGCCCATCTAGGTATGTTTTGCACAGTCTACGGCTGATTTGTACAATCTCTCAGTAAACCACATTCAAATTCCTAGGAAAGAGAATCCAATCAATGCTAGTTGTATTCATCACCAATCCTAATCTATGTACAGATCTATGTCTCATCTATGTCCAGATGGAGCAGGGTCTTTAGATATACAGAATTTTATTTTCCAGGACTTATGCATTCTCATCAGAAGGGATTGTGATCCAGCAGGCAATGGGAGGTGAGTTAGCATTCCTCACATGGACAAAGTAAGAAAGAAAAAAAATAAATGGTGATGACAGAGAGATGACATAGAAGGGTATGTTGAATAAAATGTAAGTGCTTCACTATGATTATTCAGGGTAACTAGAAAATAGGTAGAAAAAGACTAAAGAAGAAAGTACTGGTCTAATCCTTCACATATTGTGACTAGAGAAAAATATCTAGCATAAAGTAACTCTTCAGGAAAGGGCATGCACAAAAAAGAAAAAAAAAGTCAATAAATTTGCATTAAAAAGAAAAAAAGATGGTGGGAAAGATGACATTGAGAGGGAGATCATTAACATAGCTTACACTGATTCTTCAACTATTTGCATGTCATTCATGAGAACTGCCTACTAATTCTGCTCTGAACATGAGAAATATACTTTCTTTCTTTGCTACTATTGTGGCTAAATTTGACCCTGGATTATAAATCACCACTAGTGCTTGCTAATTTGCTATTAGTGTCTACGTTCTGTTTGTTTTTAATTAAACAAAACGAGTTGCTGGTAAGAAGAGAGAGGAACCTCTTCAGGAATACACATCAATGATTCAGAGAATATTGAAAAAGTTCTGAAGGTGTAAACCGCAGGGGAAGTCCTCTTTGCCCTGCTATGTCAATAGACAAAGTTCTCAGTAATATTGCATACATTACTTGCTGGGTCAGTGTGAAATACATTAACCTACCACACTCTCGCTCTAGAGAATTTTTTAGCTTGTCCAGGCAGTAGGTAAAATAGTTTTAAAGTCCTTCAAATGTACATTTGCTGGTCTTCTGTCCTTTTATAAAGCTGAATGTCGTAAAGAAAGGACTCGTTTTCCTATATTTGGTTAATTCTTTTAAATGTCTCTATTTGAAGATTAAAAATTATATAAATTTAAGTAAAAACACTGGGAAGTAAACTGTTGTATTGCCCTGACAAAGAATGAATTCCTCCTGTCGTGTTCTGATTGTCCACATCACTGAGTTTGATTACTAATCAAAGTTGAGATTTGGGATGGACTTGGATCCTGCTTTACACTAGAGTCAAATCCAGCCTCCTTAACAAAATGTTTCTGAGTGTTTATTATTTTCATCACTTTTATTATGTAAATATTTTCTCCTTTCTAAATCAGTCTAACTTAGAAAATGAGTTCTTAGTCCAATTTTCAGCATAAGATATTAAACAATCTTGTCAGTATCTATAATAATAAAAGGGTATATGCTAATTAGACCAGACAAAGCCAGGCTGGAGGGAAGCCAGCCTGGGTCCCGGTGCCAGAGGGAAGCCGGTACCAGCAGCCAGGGGAAGGAAGGCCTACTCTTGCATTAATTTCATGCACCGGGCCTCTAGCGTTATAATTGGCTCAGGTCAGACAATAAAATAACTCATAGAAGAATAGAACTAGGGAAATCTAAAGTGTTTTGTTTTTAGTTATAGACATTTTATAGTAACTTTCCTTGGGGAGAGGATGTCAGGATTTATGCCCACTGCCTTATTCCACATTTCTCCACTGAATCAGTCCATACAGACTGAGTCTGGTTGAATTATAACCTATTCATCAGTTGCATGGCTGACTTCAAGATGAATACATGCAAATTGGGAGTTTAGAGAAAACAAAGATATTTGAATACATATTTATCTGCAAGCAACCATAATTCAGTTGCAATCTAAATTCAGGAACACTATATTGAGTAACAATTTGAAAAAAACATGTCTGTAAACCAAACGCTGTATCTGCCATGATTTTATTCCCCATGAATGCATAATATATAAATAGTAGGTTTGGAGTTTAAATGTTTCTTCTCTTGCCCTTTTTTCCAATTCTCAGTTTGACTTTTGAAATAAATTCTCCACACAGCAGCCAAGTTCAAATGAATGAATGAATGAATGAATGAATGAATAAATAAATAAATAAATTAGAATTAGAATCCTATCTAATAATAGACAAACATGGTAATTAACCGTACCTCTGACACACTTCCCATTGGCTAATCAGGGCAATATGCAAATTAACTGCCAACCAAGATGGTGGCCGGCAGCCAGGCAGCTGAAGCGAACAGGAGGCTTGCTTGCTCCAGTGATGGAGGAAGCCAAGGTTCCCCACCTGCCGCTGCCGGCCTCTGAGCTGCACTCTAAGAAACAATGTTGCAATTATGGAAGCTAAACAAACCCCAGAAACCTGCTTTCAGCCAGCCGGGCCTCAGAGCTGGAGTTGCAACAGAGTTTCAATTATAGAAGCCAAACAAACAAAGGTCTCAGAGCTGGAGCCGAGCCTCAGAGCTAAAGCCGGCTCTCAGCTCCAGTGACAGCCATAGAAGGTAAATAAATCCCAGAATAAAAAAAAAAAGAAAAACAGGAGAGGTTGGGAGTTTCAGTCACCCACCAGCCTGAAAACAGCCCTCAGCCCCTCACCCGGACTGGCCAGGCACCCCAGTGGAGACCCCCACCCTGAAGGGGGTGTGACCAGCTGCAAACAGCCATCATCCCCTCACCCAGGCTGGCCAGGCACCCAAGCGGGACCCTCACCCTGATCCGAGACACCCTTCAGGGCAAACCAGCCTGCCCTCACCCGTGCACCAGGCCTCTATCCTATATAGTAAAAGGGTAATATGCAAACTGACCCTAACAGCAGAAAGACTGGGAATGACTGGTCACTATGACACACACTGACCACCAGGGGGCAGACGCTCAATGCAGGAGCTGCCTTCTGGTGGTCAGGGTGCTCTCACATGGGAGGAGCTCTGTTTAGCCACAAGCCAGGCTGATGGCTGCCAGTAGAGCGGTGGTGGTGAGAGCCTCTCCTGCCTCCTCAGCAGCGTTAAGGATGTCTGACTGCAACTTAGGCCTGCTCCCTGCTGGCAAGTGGACATCCCCCAAGGGCTGCCGGGCTGCCAGAGGGATATCTGATTGCCATCTTAGGCCCATTCCCCCTGGGGAGCGGGCCTAAGCCAGCAGGTGGTCATCCCCTGAGGGGTCCCAGACTGAGAGAGGGCACAGGCCGGTCTGAGGGACCCCCCCCAAGTGTACAAATTTTTGTGCACTGGCCTCTAGTATATATATAAAAGAGATTCAAGGAAGAGTGGAAATGATATCAGCCCCTATAGGAAGAATTTTAAGGAGTCCACTGGTGTCCGAAGTAGAGGGAGTTGTAGTAGAATGAAAGAGGTGATGTAACTAGCATAGAGAAGTGAGGAAAGAGAACAAAGACTACATTTTCAGTAAGTTTAACCAAAGGGAAAGAACAAAACAGGATAATGGCCTCATCAGGTGGAGTGTAGAACATGAGCTTATTGACCAGCCATGAGATGACTCAGTTTATCCTTAGAATTCCTTTGACTAGAGCCACCTATTCACAGATAAGCACTGCAACTAAAGATCCCCAAAGAACTTGTTTATCTTGAGAAATAAAGCATATTAAAATAAAAAAGAATTCTTATTGCTATAAAATAAATACATGTACTCACGAATTGCTTGCAAAATTGTATTTATTTTTCCAGATTCAGTCAACAAAAGAACAAAATGCCTCATAATGAGAATTCACTTTTGGATAGAGATACAGTGTTTCATTATTCTCACAAGTGAGTGCTGATTTTTGTTCACTTATAAAATAAATACCCGCCTGTTACAACTGGAAAGGTAATGTTAACATTACATGCTCGCTGAGGATGCAGATTGATGGCACTTGTCTGAGCAAGAACATGCTGTGATGTGCCTGTATCTGTAAGACAAGGTTTTGCCACCAGGACAGTCAAGAATGATGTCTCTGAACTCATAGTTTTCTTCTCGGCAGCAAAGGCAGGAATTTTCCAACTGAAAGATATCATAATTGTACCTAAAAAATAAAATATCCAGTAATCAATATTTTTGGAATGTCTTTGGAAATAAATTGACATCAATGCTCAACTTCTAATTATCTAAGTGATTTACCAAGCCTCCCAATCAATTTATTTTTTCCCCTACACCTTGTATTCCTATACGTTTCTGATGTAGATCAGTGATAAGTGGTAGTAAGATAAAAAAAAAAGAGGAAAATAAATTCAAAATAGAGATTTATAATCTCATAATTAGAGCATTATGGTGCAAAAAAATAAATAAAAATGATTTTAAAATATGCAGTTTAACACCCAATCATTATTTTTCATAAATTAATTTACATGTGTAAGTGTATATAAAGGAAAAAATGTAAACTGTTATATCTAAAATGCATGTGACAGTTTAAAAATACACTTTTAGCAAGAGTAATTGCTTAAGTACTCTCTGTAATCACTGTATGAAAATAAATACATTTGCCATAAATGTATTAGATTTGATATATAGAGAAAGCTACTTCAAAATGATTCATCACTTATTAGGATTCTCATATTCTAATATTTTAAATATTAAGGTTCTGCTCATTAGCTAGCATATAAAAGTTTTCCATGGCCCAGGCCAGTGTGGCTCAGTTGGTTGGGTGTCATCCCATGCACCAAAGGTTGTCAGTTCAATTCCTGGTCAGGGCACATACCCCCAGGTTGTGGGCTCAGTCCCAGGTAGGGGTTATGCAGGAGGTAGCCAATCAATGTTTCACTCTCACATCAATGTTTCTATCTCTCCCTCTCCTCTATCTCTAACAACCAATAAAAAATCTTAAATTTTTTTCCTATATAATGTTTTAAAAGTTTCATGCCTTTTAACAATATTACAAAATTAACATACAGTACATGTTCCAAGAAAAACTCACTTGATGGTCTGTTTGCATTCCCCTACACATCTTGCCATCTCAAGTCTTTTCTTGCAACCATTGTACTTAACAGTCACATTGACAAGTGAAGATCTGCAATTAGTATTACCTAAAAAAAAATGGATCCAAGAGTCAGAAAGATTTAACATTAACAATTGCTAAGTCTCAGCTTTCTTAACCATAATTAGAGAATAATAATAAATACTTCATAATTTTACTGACGAGATTATCTGTCAGCACCCAGCAGAAATGACTGTCTAATACTCAATAAATGTTATCTTATTGTTATTGCTATTATTCCTACCATAGGAGAAGGAGAAGAGGAAAGAAGGAAGAGGAAGAAGGGGGAAAGGAAGGAGTAAAGAAAAGGGGGAGGGAAAGGAAGACAGAGGGGCATGGTTATTTTTGGTATCTATTTATTTTCTCATTGCTGATCATTCTTATGATTTTATATGTCAATTTACAACATAACCTGCTGATGTTAGATGAGAGCAAGCTAAATTTCTTTCCATAAAAATTATTTTTTCCTTGTAAACATAACTAGTTTTGTTACAACCAACACGAATAAGTAACTATCGTATATTATGTGCAAATATCCATTGTCAGTTTATGCATATAGATTAGAATACCTATTGTTTTAAAAACACATGAGACTTTCTTTTAATGATCTGCCATTTTGTTTAAAGAAGCTAATTTTTTTCAACAGTTTGTATTGCCTCTACATGTGGAGCTTAATTTTACTTACATTTATAGCAACATTTTTTTGAATCATAGACTCGGTCTGCCTATATGGGTGAGAGAAAAAGAAAAAAAACTGAAATTTTCTATAAATAATATAACATTTTTTAACTTATTGAAATATTATTTCAAGGGGAGAAAATGGAACAGATGAACACCTCAGGCTCAGTTTCAGGGAGCACGGATGGGAGAGAGTAGTAATAAAAATGAGACAGTATTTACACTAATTTTTGCAACAGTGGGTTGAAAGGGAAAAACAATACTTAAATGAAATTTTCTTTAAAATAAAATGCAAAGGAATAAAAAAACAAAACACCCCTTACTTATTGTAATTGAAAAATACTTTAACAGTGATATTACTACCAGACACTGTAAGTTTCTCACAGGCAGGAATTTTTACCTCACACATTATTATTCTCTTAAACTTATCAATGTCTCAGGATAAAAATGCAATAAATGTGGAAGTCCAATATTAAAGTTCTAAAATAAAGCTTTGAACTATATTATCAATTATATCTTCAGAAAGAAAAATAAGCTTAAACCTTTCTTAATAACTTACATTTAAGTATTTATTAATTCAAAATCCTCACCACATTTGAGCACCATAAAAATAAAGATTGTGGCACTAAGAAAACTCTGAACAGTAGACATATGGAGTTACATGAAATTTTTGTATTTTTATAGAAAATTATTAACCTGACTCTATAAACCTTGATAACAAACTAGATTTTTTTTGTTTGCTTAACAATTACAATATGCTTTCCACAGAAACTAACTTCTAGAATAGCACTAGATTAAATTTTAGAGAGCCTGTAAATATATCTTTGATATGAAAAATACACATGATAATAAAAGGTGAATGAGAAATCTGAAATGAAGTCTATAAGAGATCTATTGGCCAGATATAAATTTTTCCAAATGAGAAAGAAGACAGGTTGTGTTTGTATTGAACATGAGAAGTGAACCTTGTTGTTGTACTACTTGAGAAGATGACTTACTTCTGCACACCAGGTCTGCTTGGGGCAGTTTTCGACCACTGCACGGAAACCAGTTGTATCGCAGAAGTAGGAGACGCATGGGTTGTTGGGGTCATCAAAAAAAGCACCAATCTGGGGGGGAGTGGGAATGGGGAGAAAACAAAGTAATTAGTCATCTTGATTTCTTTTTGCTGTTGATAATAAAACCTGTATTAAAAAAAATCAAAATTCATGATGGTTAGTGAATTTCCAGAGGCACGTTCAGCCATTAGGTTAATATTTAAGAAAAGGTGGATTGAAAGCCTTCTACTTCCATCAAAGTGAATCATTGATAGCACAGAATGTGTCAAGGTTCTCAAATTAAGATCTGCATACAGTTACTCTGTTGTAGTTTTTAAGTGTTTTCAAGAAAGGTTATTTTATTTGTAGCAGTCAATTGACCGGTTTTTATGCTCTAAGTTTAAGGGGAAACAAATCGCAAATCCAAATAGAGGGGAAGGGCATAAAATGGGTTTATCACAAATGACAAGTAACATATTCTGTCTTTGCTTGTGTTTCTATACTATTTTCTTTTTATTGAATTTATTGGGATGACACTGGTTAACAAATGTATACAGGTTCAGGTCATATACTTTTAAAGCTCAATAGATTGCTTTATAATTAATTTATGTTCAAAATTCAAACACCAGTTTGGAAAATTGCATTTCTTTCAAGGCCTAAAACTACAAAATAAACTTTCTGGTGGACTAAAATTTTATTATTTCAATTGTTTTGCATATAAATGCATAGAAGTAAAATGTTTTCTTTGTTCTTTAAACATCATCATATTTTATGTTTAAAGACTATCATAAATTCTCAAGTCAGGTCACCTTTGGAAACTAAAAAGTAAGAAACTAAAAAATTGAGTGTGATAAATAAATTACCAAATTAAAACTCTCATGGGCTTTGCTTCTATGTATTTCCTAACATACCACATATACTTTATTTCAGATTTTTTAATATTTATTATCATCAGTTAAAATGTATTAAAGTCATTTTGAGAATCATCTGGTTTTTATGGCTTCCTGGTACTTTTTCTAAGATGTTAAATTACTTTCCAAAATGCCAAATCAGTTGTCAAAACCCACCCCTGTACTGCTATATTCACATAATGGGGTTCTAGTCTTCGGGGTTTTCTTATTTGATCTGTGACAGTTTGGCCATCTGATCTTCCTGGTTATAACTACAGTTTAACTCTGTTCATTGATTACAATGTTACAAAGTGTGTCTTCTCCATCTGGCAAGCCCCATGGGAAATATTATTCAGAAGCTCTAATGCTAGGTAGTTAATGATCAAGTATATTTTCTCCCCTTGAAGGGAGCCATGCTGAGTGTTACATTTGACATTCCTTTTGAAAATTGAAGATAGGGGAAAAAATTCCTCCCCACAGTTGACTATGAAGTTTTCATGTCATAAGCTGAAAAAGGCTGCATTTGTTCATAATTATATTGATAAAAATAAGATAAAGTAAAAAACGACTTTACCTCATAGTTGGTATCGTTAAATAAACATGTTCTTGGTTCTGAAAAACAAATATATTATTTTATCCTAAAGTAAACATTATAATTATTTTTATTCATAAAACAGAAATTGTAAATGGGATAGTATTTATCAACCAATCATAATGTTCTTCCCATAACATCATCATAACTCTTTAATCTACTGATTATGTTCATAGCTGTTAATTCTGGGTTTCCCCATTACAAAGATAGTAAATTTTAAGAGGGCAACCACTGATTCTGTTTTATTTATCACACCTATCCTGTATAGTAATGATCATTTAGCAGCTCAATAAATATCTCTTGGATATGTAAGTAAACAACTATTCAATTCAATTCAAATAATGGTTTATGAATACACACCACAGTATCCAATTTCACAGCAGGTATCATTATCTTTGAACTTTACAAGCCTCTCTTCAGTTTTGCATGTGGGGGGAGAAGGGCACTCCTTGGGTTTACAGTCCACCGTATTAGCATTGGTACAGGTGCATTTGTGGCAATTAGCAGTCCATGTGTCTCCAGGCTACAGAAACAAACCAAGTTTAGACTTTTACTCCAATACAGGAATGACAGCAAATTTGGATTAAAGTGAAGAAGAACTATGTACTTACTGATTTCTCTTCTCCCAGTGGACCATGGCAAACTGTTAACATGAAATGATAAACGCTAATTAAATTTGGCAAAATATAACCATCTGTTACTTGTAGATAACCACCAGGTGGCCAATAGTGTAATTAGCACTACGATTTCAGAGACACAGAATTATGGAGGATTACGGTGCCTTTAAGTCGAAAAAATCATATCCACCTACTTTGAACAAATTGTCCTGAAAAAGCATATATTTCCTATTTTTAGAAACCCCAGGAAATGAAAATTCTAAATTTCTCTTAGGGGAAATTTAGACTTTATAATGACCAGTTTCAAGGGCCTTCTCAGATTTTTAAGCTCCCTGCAATAGCTAACACTTGTAACTCTCATCTTGAAAATATTCTTCTTTCAGATTCAACACTCTGAAATTCCTCTATCAGCTCTTTCTCTAGTCTTTCCCCTGGTACCTCCTCTCTCTCCACAGAGTCCACTGTAACGTTAGGTAGATAACTCTCAAATATCTAGCTCCAGTCCAGACATCATGTGTGAGAGGGACCCAGATCTCATTCAGTCTAATAAATAGCATGCTGGCCAATCTGTAAGAACCTTAAACTCAATGTGCACAAAACAGATTGTATTATTTTGCCTTTAATATCAGTTTCTCATCTAAACATCAATGCAGAATGATTGCTTTTCAAGTGCATGTATTCTTACCTGGAGGTGATGGAAGTGGTGCTGGACAGCCTGTGTAAAAACAGACAGCTCAGATTAGTCCCTAAAGTCCTTAGAATAGTTTCGGGGTAAGTAGAGTTATCTTATTACTGAAAGTAATTGGCTACCTTGCTAGCCGTACAAACAGACACATTCCTATCTATTTTCCCTTTCTGCTCCTCAAGGCATTTGAAATTCCACCATTAGAGAGTATTCCCTTTGGATCTCCAATTTTAATGGCAGGCATATGAGAATCTAAAGGAGAAATGATATGCCATCAAGGTAAACTTCTCTTCAAAATTTTCTTGGGAGACAATTCTGATGAATACGACAATAAAATACATAATGAAAAAGAAAAAGAAGCCCTAGCCGGCTTGGCTCAGTGGATAGAGCGTTGGCCTGAAGACTGAAGAATTGCAGGCTCGATTCTGGTCAAGGGCACATGCCCAAGTTGTGGACCAATCCCCTGTAGGGGGTGTGCAGGAGGCAGCTAATCAATGGTTCTCTCTCATCATTGATGTTTCTATCTCTCTCCCCCTCTCCATTCCTCTCTGAAATCAATAAAAATATTTTTAATAAAAAACAGAAAAAGAATAATTCATATATCTGAGAAATGTATTTGTAATTACCAACTTATTTAATCCTTTAAAAACTTTTATCTTCTTTTTGTCTTCTTGAACTACTTCAGTCTTGCTCTATCTCTACCCTAACCAAATATTTTAAACTGGTCGTATGTTTCTTTCTGAGGCTTTGCACATCACATATTTTAGTCCACTCAACAATTGCCTGATAAATTAAAATTCTATTTTCAAACAATTAATAATCAGATTAATACTTTTATTCTACCTACCAGGTAAAATGTCTAGCCTAGAAGCAAGAGAATATTTGAGAGGAACTTAAAATTTCTGCATGTTTAGGTAGAGAGATGCCAACAAATAATAGGTACAGAAAAGCAGAAAGAAAATCAAACATGTGGGAGTTTGGGAGATCAAATGTCTCTCTTTACTGAGGGAGGCGAGGCTAATCCCAAACTAAAAAAGTTTGGCAGGTTAACAGAAACCAGCAGCAGGAGAGAGTAATGATCTATGGGGCATAAATACAGCAGAAAAAATCTTCCCTGAACCAGAATTCCAAGAGTTCATTGAAGATATTCATAAGAAAAAAACATAAAGAACAATCTCCTAATCTCCACCTTGTTATCAGGGTAATTTCTCTAAAACACCTATCTGATCATATTATTCTCTTAATAAAAGTCTAATAAAGATCCCAGTTAGTGTACGGATTAAAGCAGTGGTTCTCATCGAATGAGGCCCAGAAATCAGGATTTTAAAAAGATTCCCAGGTGATTCTAATGTGCAGCCAAGGTTGAGAACCACTGGATTAAAGTCTTGTTTAAGTTTGGAAATAAGGTCCTTCATGAACTTTCCTCTACTTACCTTTTCGATACCATTTCTTCCCTGAACTTCACACAGTCATCACTAATATCTGGTTGACTCCTGAATTCACTCATGCTATTTCATGTCTCTGTCTTCTCAAGGGCCATTTGGTAGAATTCCCTTCTCACTTTAGCCAATATTAAACTCAATCAGATCCTTTGTGATCCCTTCACTCAATAGTACCAACTAATAGATAGGTATTAACACTCTCCACTCCTGAGACCCCTGAGACCATAATTGCTGTACATGTTTATGGGTTAGCATTAAATATACTGTAAAGATAGTTTTGGTGCCCATAATAATCTCCCCCAAATAATAAGGAAATTAGGATTTCTCCCATACTGACCTGCTTTATTTTCATTTTCTTGATCTCCTGTTGCTCCTGCAGTGGTTTCTGAGGGGAAATAAGAGGGTGGCATTGTCATTTTATTTATCAGAATAACATGTATGCACATCAAGCCTCTGTGTACTAGTATATGAGTGTACAAATGATCACACACATTCATGCTCAAGGAAAACTTTGTGTAGAATAGACAGTTCATTCCAGTACATTTGGGTCATTTCATTTAATCTGGCTAGGACACTTTGGGGTTTGTTAGTATTCCATTTGACAGGAATAGCATATTTCATAATCTCATACTCAGAGATTTCAAACTAAGAGCTTTATAACTATGTCTTCAGGAGAGGAGTTCTGGTGAAAGCCTAACCAAAAAAGTCCTAGAAAAAAACACACACCTAGTTGAGCTTCGAAATCATATTCCAAAAGGAAATTCAGCATAACTTCCTGGCCTCTCTCCTTTTCCTTTTCCACCACGCCTCTCCCCCAAACTCAGTTCCTTATATGTAATCACAGGCACACTGCTCAGCGACGAGTATGTATTGCCAGCATTTATATGGTTACATTCCAGTTCCAGAGGTTTCCTTGACTCTTGTGGAAGCAGTGACCACTAAGGGAGGGACAACCATGGTGCATACAGTAGACGGGAGAAGATAGAGTTTAACTTCTGGTAACCTATACTGTCTTCTGAGATGCCACCAAGCAAAGTTCATTTACTATTATTTGGCTTACCCGTGGTAGAAATTCCAGAAGCAATGGTTGTTTCAGATGTTTCCTGGGAGGTACCTAACATGAGCAGCAAAAGAGCAATGAGCTTTTTCTGGTCTCAAAAGAGCATGTCCCAAGACACCTCTACATGGAACAAAGTCTCAAAGCACTTGGCATGTTCTCATGCATATACTAAGGCTCCTGCAATTGAACCATAAGAGGTTTCTATCTCAGCAGCTCCTTGCTCACAGAAATGAACATTTTCCTATGATCCTGGTAAATTTCACTTTTGAATTTCCTTCTCTAAGTGACAAAAACTTTTTCTACACTTCACTGTTTTATTTCCTATAACTTGGTTTCTTGGTTATCCTGTAACAGTTTTGGGGGGACAGAAGTTATAGTAGAGTGAGAGAAAATGAGAAAACATCTCTGTTTATTAAGATGGCCTTAACATTTCCCTCAGCCTGATTAAACTTCAGGCATGCTTCTTCCTGACTACAGGTCCCTGAACTCCCTTTTCTTGGAGCCTTTATTTTTAAAAAACTTGCAATTATAAGTTATTTCTCTGAGATGCAAATATTCCTTCAGCTCTGGCCAGTTTTAAAATCCTGGAATCTTTTTCAAAGACCTGAGAGCCACCCCCTTGACACGTAAACATCAAGAATAATAGCACCCTTATCTCCCTGTCTCTGTGGGAAGGTAGGAGCCTACTTTCATTCTGTAAGTACCAATTAGCAACCATCCATGGCCTAATCATTTAGACCAACCTCTCCTCTAATGGCCTGCCCTCCAGTACTTTTCCACCATTTCACCCCAGCACTTTTGTTTCAGCAGAGTTGAGTTCAAAATATCACCCTTATTGCAGTGGTCTTGACTCCTATTGCAATAATCTGCACTAATAAAAGAGAAAGATTCAAATTGACCATATCTCTGCAACACCCACCAGCCAATCAGGAGTGAGTATGCAAATTAACCCAACAAAGATGGTGGGTTAATTTGCATACACAGGCCCCAAGTGGATGCAGGCTTTCTGCACCATCCCAACTGCTCCAAGCCTCTGGACAGCGTGGGAAGGCAGAAAGGCGGCTTGGGCCAGAGGTGCCGGCAGCCAAGGAAAGGAAGGTCCATTTCTGCATGAATCTTCATACATCAGGCCTCTAGTCTTATATAAAGTATTTCTTGCCTATTTAAGTCCACCTGGAACAATTTTTCTTTTAAAGTTCAAGTTGGATACTCATTCAAAGGGATAAATATTGGATAACTGAAACACGTGGGTGTTAAGGGAGAAGAATGTTTAGCATGTAAACTTTTTTTCAGTCAGTCATTTCTATTACCTGGACTGGAACTTTCTGGGCCACCAGTACTTCCACTTGATACTACAGTAGTAGCTACAAAGGCAAATGAAGAACATTTCATTTCAGATGCATGTCTTATGACTATTTTTCAAAGATCAACAACAAGAGAGAAAGTAAATCAGATGAAAGTCTGGGCCAATGCTGCAGCTCGTCCATAGGGTACCTCTGTGAATTACAATAAACATCCCTTTGGGCAGATGAGGCCTCATGTATTTACACCTTGTTATAGGGACATGGGCTGAATTTTAATCTCTACTCCTCTAATTTAGTAATTAGATTCTAGAGGCTATCCCAGTGGTACCTCTAATAAAAGGGAAGGATGAGCCTTACAAAGGTTTTCTTGCCCTAAGAAGAGTGTGATATTGACAAGTGTTCCTGTTTCTCTTAAGTAATAGAGAGCAGTTTAACAATTTTTCTTGCACCAAATATTAAGCCACGCATATTGTTCAATGCACTTTCTAATGCTTGCATGTCAAAAAAAATATGGAAGTAAAAGTCCTAATTTCCTCATACATTTTATTTCTCTAGGTCTAGAATCTAATTACTAAATTAGGGAATGTTTGTCTTATAGTCACATGATTTTCTTCCAGTGACTTATCTCTCTTGTTCTCCAATGGAAGGAAACAAACAAATTTTTTAAAAAAAATTTAATTGCTTCTAAACTTGTGATCAAGGATAAGGCATCTCAATCAAGGCCTTAATTTACAAATTTACTAACATCTATTGTAGTGATCTCTACTACCTTCTTGGATACTGATAACTATTACTAATATTGTTGTAGAATTCCTTAACGCCCCCCCCCCAAAAAAAAGAATAAAGTAAAAAAATAAAATAATGTGTCTAGAGAATTACATGTATAGGATGTTCTCTAGGAAAAATCAGGGAGCCAACCTAGGTAAGAAAAGCCCAAGAAGTATGAATTAAACATATCTACTAACCAGGACTGGAATTCTCTGGGCCCCTGGAAACTCCAGCAGACCCTGTAGTCGTACCTGCAAAGGCAAGATAAATAAAAGATTGAAAGTAATACATCATTTTTGGCTTCATAAACTCACTTCTAAAAGGCTGGTGTACGGAAAAAAATAAGTCTGACAACAAGGTCCAAGTGTTATTGATCTGACATATTGTTTCTTCAAATAGAATACAAAACCCTATCTCAGCCTTCTTCTCACTCATTTATCATCTACCACAAACTCAAACAGAAAATTATTGAGTACCAAAAGGCTGAAAGAGCAAACCACTTACCAGTTACCATTCCAACTCCAGTGGTAGTTTCAACTTCTGTAGAAGTTGTAGTCTCTGAGAAGAAATAGGAGAGAGTGGCATGGGATACAGAAATTTAAAAAAAAAAATCTGTAACAGTATTACGTTATGTACAATTCCTATGGCAGACACCAGGTCTCTAAAGATCATATGGCTCTTCAACTTTTTCATCACTCACTTGCGTTGGAACTCCCAGGTGCAGTTGTTGTGCCAGTAGTGACCTCAGTGGTAACTGAAATCACAAGAGGAGAGAATCAATTTGTAAATTCCCTTTGGCTTAAAAGTAGATTTAATTTTGAACAAATTTGGGTTTCTTAATGAACTAAGAGTATTACATCAGCACTTTCTTGCCTTAAGTGACGCCGTAATTTCTATTATGCCATTTTACTACAGATATACAAAGAAAAGGGCAATTTACATGGGATAAAGTACTAACATACTGAGAATTTGTGCTTGAAGAGAGATTTAGGTAGAGTAGTATTTCCACTAAGTTTATTATAGCCAATGTAATTTACTTTAAGATGAAGAGAAAAATAATTATCTGATTTCTAGTGCTTACCTATTTTCATTTCACCCTCAGTGGTTCCACCACTTTCTGAAGAAGTTGTGGCCCCTAAGTGAAAGAAAGAAAGGAGAAGAGTAAGTCCCATAACTGAGAAAAGTTTGGTGGCATCTCCAGGATATGGAATGGAATGTGTGTATTTGGGTGGAGGAGTTGATGGGGCGGAGACGGAAAGGGTACCTCCTCACTGAAGCTCCTTATATTCCCTATTTGATTATTGATTTACCTGTGTTGGAACTTCCAGGTGCAACTGTTGTGCCAGAGACCACACCAGTGGTTCCTAAAGTAGAAGAAAAAAGAAGAAATGCAAATGGTGATATATTGACCATCCTGAGAAGAGCATAACCAACAATAAAACTGTAACTCAAAAGCAGAAGACCCTTCTTTGGGTTATCCTGCCAAAATGAGGTGCATTCTCCATTTTTTAATTCAGGGCCACAATAAATACATATGCTTATAGTTCAGTCTTGATAAATTGCTTCCCTAGGATTAACTATCAAAGGTTTCTGGGCCTTTCTCATGTTTACCTGTTTTACTTCCAGGACTTGACCTCTCAGATGTGCCAGTGGTGGCTCCTAATAACAAGAAATAGAAACAACATTTGTGTAAATGTACTTAATTATACTCAATGAAGAAATTCATACTATCTGAAATCCAAAATTCAATAGACCTAAACTTCCAGAGTTACTTCCATCATCTGTTTCTCTAAAGAGAACCATATGGACATGTAAGTCCTCCATCTGACACGAGGGTAATAGCTTGAATGTCACAAGGAGAAACCTTTCTGGGCATCTCTTTTAAGAATTATAGTATAAGGTTTGTCCAAAAGAAATAATATGGTTTTCATAAGTATAAGTTTCCTCTAACAAATATCCCCATGAAGAGGCAAAGGCAGACTATGAATTAGCAAGAACTCAAGAGTTGCCAATTCTGCTTTCATTGGTTAAGCTTCCTTCTATGGAAACTGTAGCTTCTGAGAGTGAAAGGGAGTAGTGAGGGCTAGTGGAAACCTATAATAAAAAGGTATCATGTGATGTTGCTTTAGAGCTAGCCCAAGAAAGAAATTATAGTACATGTTTCCTCATTGATTCACCTGTGTTGGAACTTCCAGATGAGATGGTACTGCCAGGGGCCACTTCAGTAGAACCTAAAAGCAAAATTGAATGACAACATTGTGTGATTTCATTCCCATAAGAAGATTATATTCTACAATATAATTAGGAAATTACAAAATTCTTTATTACATAAAAAGACCACTTTCAAGAATAGCTTGTTCCAGAGTGATTTTATGCATTTTCTAATGCTGCATTCTGAATATAAATTTATTGGACAGAGAGTAGAATGTGAGGTGGTATTGGGGAGTCTCAAAGATAATCTTCCTTTCTCTGGGGTCAATGTTCAATAGACAAAGGTATTTTCCTTTACCTATTTGAATGCCAGTGACCAGGCTACTAGATTCTCCTAGGAAAAGAAATGAAGCAGGATTGATGGCCTGTTGAATTTTTATTTGGGTAATGTATTGATGCTTTAGAAATTTTAATGTTCTAGAAAAATTTAGACATATAATAAGGAAATCTAGTGATATTGTATAATGGCAGTATAGTATCATGGTTAGGAGGATGGCCTTTAGAGCCAGACTGCCTGAGTTGAAATCTGCTGTTTATTTGCTGTGTGACCTTGGGAAAGTTGGTTAATATCTCTGAGCCACAGATGTCTTCATCTGTAAAAAGAATAGTACTTACCTCATCGCTTGGAGTGAGAGATAAAAGAAATAATAATGAGACGTGTGTATGTCGAATAGTTAGTGCTCTAAAGTATTAGCTATGATGTCATTGAAAAGTGGAGAGCTTAGGATGCCTGTGAACTCACCTGTATTGCTTCCTGTAGTTCCACTGCCTCTAGGGAGTGTTGTAGCTTCTAAGAGAGAGGAAAGGTAGACAAACATGAGCTAAAGAGCATTTAGCATTCTGACGAAAGTTAAGGGTATAATTTTCTCAATGACAGTACGGTGGGCAATTCTCTCCAGCTGCTGGCTCACCTGTGTTTGAACTCCCAGGTTCAAGTGGAGTGCCAGAAGCTACCCTAGTGGTACCTGCAACAAGGTAAGATGATACAGTCTGGTAACTTGGAATACTGGGAAGGGATATTGCAATAGTATTTTATTATAGCAGCCCCAAAAGAGAGGTTAAATAAGGGGTATGTCCTTCTTGTTAACCTACCTGTGTTAAAACCTCCAGATGTAACAGTTGTTCCAGAAAACTCTTCAGTGGTACCTAAAATGCAAAATGGAAATGGAACAATAGAGTATTTCCTCCACAGTTCATCTTGGCAGCACCAATGTGGCCCTAAAACACTGTAAGACCTTTCCTGAAGATACTCTTCTCTGAAGAAAATAAAAAATGAGCAACTTCACAGTATTTTATTTCCCAGGTTTCCCTGTCACTATGTGGTAATTAAATGTCACAGCAGGTTTTTAAATGCCATTTACCTATTTCATTTTCAGGGACAGATGCACCTGGTGTGCCAGAGGTGTGTAAGGGAGAAAATAAAGTACAGTTTTAATCTTTATAAGGAATATTTTTTTATATAACTTAAGAGCATTTTGATAAGCAAGTTGCCTTTATGGAGCTCTCTAGATGGGGAGATAAAAAATAAACTATAAATATTATGTATAAGTAAATGAGAGAGTGGATAGAAATTGGCAAGCTACTGGGGTAAGGAGGACTGGAAGTAATAGGGGGGTGAGATATAGGAAATATACTTTTTTAAAAAATATATTTTATTGGTTTTTTACTGAGAGGAAGGGAGAGAGATAGAGAGTTAGAAACATCGATGAGAGAGAAACATCGATCAGCTGCCTCCTGCACATCTCCTACTGGGGATATGCCGGCAACCCAGGTACATGCCCTTGATCGGAATCGAACCTGGGACCTTTCAGTCCACAGGCCAACGCTCTATCCACTGAGCCAAACCGGTTTCAGCAGGAAATATACATTTATATCATTTTTTTTCAAGGGGGGGCGGGCGGCGGAGAAGAACATCTCTAAGCCAGAACACTGAGGACAGACTGGCTGAGACATCTGAGGTTTTGGAGTTCCCAAAGAAAATAATTATCAGGTTGATATCACACAATATGGCTTCAGAGACAATGCAGGTCCCCCCTTCACACTCCTTATTCATTTGTTCACTGCAGCAAGCCAATTAGACAAAGGATGATAGATAGCCCTAGGCTTTGGACTAAGAAGCTTACCTCCTGGCAATCTTCCCTGTGTAGCCTTACTGCCTCCTGTGGAAGTTGTGGCTTCTAAGAGAAGGGGGGAAAAAAACCTCTTGTTATTCCACAATTTTCTACGAAAGTCCTGGCCCCCAATATAGAGGAAAAGAGGATAGACATCATTGAAAATTATTTGAGGACCACAGAAAGGAAAGTAGTTCTGCTACACAGGGTAACAATAGAAGAGGAATCTCATCAAGACAGACTCATGAAAGATTCCCCACCCCTTGTTGACTCACCTGTGTTGGAACTGCCAGGTGCAACTGTTGTGCCAACAGCTGGCCCAGTGGTGCCTGAAAAACAAAAGTTCTGAGATCTTCAACGGTGCCTCTTGGTGACTCCTATAAGCTCCTAAAGACCTGCCTCTGGAAGAAATCTAAGTGGATCTGTTATATCAAAGGGCCCTTTCACTACTTCCTGATGAGTTGACAATCATATAACTTTCCTATAATCCATATCATTAAGAAAGTAGTAAAAACTGCAATATTTCCCATGTAAGGCATCCTCTACAGATATTCCATTCACTTAAAATGAAGAAGAAAGCTGGGTTTCTCCCAGGCTCACCTGTCACACTCCCAGTTGCTTGGCCTGGTGGCACTGCAGTGGCGCCTAATGTGAGAGGAAAAGCAGAAAAATATTTGAATGTGCCCAAAACTACTATCCTTATTACACTTTTGAGCAAGAGGACCTATATATATGTAGCACAGGCTTAAGAGTTCACATTGCTTTCTCTTCTACCCACATATAGAATATTTCTTGGGTCTGCTATCATCTCAGTGATGTATATGCCATCAAAGAGGAAACCTCTTACAGGGATTTCACCAATAGCCATTCCTAAGGAAGTTACAGCTGTGAGGCATGAGCAGGCATTGACAGTTTATTGCTACTATGTTAAATCAAAGAAAATACTGAGTAAATACAAACAACTCTGCAGGAAAGAACACCTCCAAAATGGGAGCTTGTGGAGAGTCCTAATGAATGGTAAACCCCAACTGAGAGGTACTCATTCTCACCTGGTCTGGATCCTGTTCCAGGAGTGCCACTACCTTCTGCTGGTGTTGTGGAAGCTGAAGAAAGAAATGATGAATGGAGAGGTCAGAGGATTTGGGATATTAAGGAAAAAATTACTGACAAATTAGATCAGAACGAGAATACTAACTACAGTATGGGGTTAAATATGAAGATTTCTTCTCCTTATCCTACCTGTGTGGGAACTCCGAGGTATAATAGTTGGCCTAGAGAATTTCCCTCAATAGGCCTGTTTAAGAGTTCTCATTGTTTTGGCTTCTTCCCAGAGACATAATATTTCTCCGCTTCTCCTAACATCTTAGTGAGGGGTATGCCATCACAGGATAAACCTCTCCTATTGATTCTACCACCAGCCCCTCTTTAGAATGTTACAACTGGAACGACTAGAAGCCAGTGTTGAGAACTTTTCCAAAATGTTACATCTAAGAACTGGCAGCATGTGTGAACCACTCTGCAGGAAAGCTCACCTCCCAGCAGGCCAGCTTAACAATAGTCCTAGTCAATATTAAACTCCCAGCTGCAGGAGCTCTTACTCACCACCTCTGAATCCAGTTCCAGAAGTGCCACTGCTTTCTGTTAACGTTGTGGCCTCTGATGAAAGAAAATGGTGAAGAGTGAAAATGGAGGAATTGGGATATTAGGAAAAGTATTATTTGATATTTTATCAGAGCTGACCTAATACCTATATTATGGTTTTAAATATGGAGATTTCTTCTTGTTAACCTACCTGTGTGGGAACTCCCAGGTATAATGGTTGTCCTGGGGAATTCCTGTGGAGCACCTAAAGATGACAAAGATAAAGGCATCAACAGAGCATTAGCTCCCTCTTCAGGACTGAAGCAGCTGTGTGTCCTTGAATGACCAGAAGACCTATCCTTAGCTTCTCTGTTTCAGAGGGAGCTTAGCTGTCCACAACTTTCCACAATGTCCTTCCCTGCCCCACCTATGGATCATTGTTGCTACTGGAGTTCCATTTTTTATTGATGCCAGGGAAAGAGAAAGGAGGTCTTATGTCACCCTCACCTGTTTCACTTCCACTCCCTGGACTCCCTGGTGTGACAGAGGTGCCTAAAGGAAGAAAAAGGCAGATGATGCTTCATCTTTGTAAAAGTTCGTAATCAATTACCTGAAGGCTTTTTAACACTGCAAGGTTTAAAGCAGAAATGTGTGACTCTAATACTCTCAAATGGTGAATTTTCTTAGTGACCCTACCTGGCTTAGTTTTCTGTGAACTGCTGCTGGCTCCAGGTGAAAGTGTTGTGGTACCTATTAAAGCAAGTAGTGTGAGCTTCAAAATCAATACACATTTCAAGATTCCACAAATATTGATTAAGCATCTTTTCTATGTAATAATGTTTTAGGCGTTTGGATATATCAGTGAGCAGAATAATCAAAGATCCCTCCCCTAATGTGGCTTACATTCTAGCAGCTGGAGACCAACAGTGATCAACAAACATGAAAAGTCAAAGTGACAGATGTTAGAAAAGGCTATAAGAAAATGTCCAACAATATATAAAGGTTGGGGCCTTGATAGGCAGGAGCAGGGCCACATGGGGGCCTCATACCTGCCAATCAAAGAACTAGCTCTGTAGGCCTGGGCCTTGCAATCTAGATGGGAAATATGAGAATACGGTTTTCAGGCTTATCTAAGTTTGTGACTCTGGCATGCTGTGTTCCCCAAGGAACTACAGGCCCATTTCCTTCGTCCATCTTCCCACTCATGTGTAACACACAAACAGGGAGTTGGTTAAGAACCTCAGATATTCAGTTTAAAGTAAAACTCACCTGTGACAAGTCCTGCTTGGGTAGTCCCACTTCCTCCCATGGAAGTAGTGGCCTCTGATAGAAAAAAGAATACGAAGAAGTAAGACTAGGTGGTGGGAAAGAACACACTTGGCTATTGTCAGAATAGATCATACAAGCTGCCAATGTCAAGTTTTACTGTATTTTCAGATTTGCCTGTCACATGTCTGCCACCTTCAGAGGTTTTCCAGAGACTTTATCAGTATTACTTACAAGAAGAAAATAGTGGTGATCCTAGCTCAGTTGTTTTTTCACTGCATGATTTAAATAAAAATCTACATCTTCATGTAATACCAAACTATAACCCTGTGACTTTTAGTGTTAAGAATTCATCCTTACGTGGCCCACGTAACATTTTTTTTCTATAACCATTTTGCTGAGTTCTCAACAATCATGTCTCTTTTTATAGCTGGAAGAGAGAAATATCTCTCTCTGTACTCTCTATTTATTTGTCATTGTTTAGACTCATGGTTGTCTACTGAAGGCCCTTGTACGCTCAGGCAATAAGAAGGCAATGAAATGTCTAGCTTATCTTTTAAAAACCTGAACTTTCACAACATAACATATATAAATAGTGTAGAAAATGTTTGGAAGATTGCTTTAAGCAGGTTATCATGAAATGTACGTGTTAGCTTAGCACCACTCCCCTGTGTCTATTCAAATTCTAGTTGTGCCACTTTGAATGTTGTGGCCACTGGGGGAAATAGGGTGGAAAAGAGGTAATGAAAGAATATTTCAGGATCACTGAAAATTCATGGTGGTAGTCCTGCAATGAGTAAAATCAGTGCAGACAACTAACCTGTGAGAGGGCATTAGAAAATCCTATGTCACCCTATTGCCTCCCCTATGTTGGAAGTGCCAGGAGCAACAGTTGTGCCAAGGGCTATTCCAGTGATGCCCACAACACAAAAGGTTTGAGATCTTCAACATGTGTCCTGTCCATTTCCTGACGTCCTCCAGGGACTCCATATGTATCTTTGTTATAGCAAAGGGCCCTGTCTCTACTTCCTGATGAGGTGAGACTCCGGTTTTAATATGACCAACATCAGTAAGAAAGCAATAAAAACAGTAATGTTCTCAGCATGAGAAACTGTCCCAGAAATTCCATTCAGTCAAATATGTTTAAAGAGGGGCCTTTCTCCTACATTCATGTCTCATCCTCACAGTGGTGCCTACCATTCAAGGATAAACAGGAAAATATTTCAAGGTCCCAGAAAAATATTGATACAATTATTGGCATTTTGAGCGAGAACCGTGTGCATAGGATATGCCTGTTTAAGAGTTCACATTGCTTTTCAATCTCCTCATATATATAATATTTCTCATCTCTCACCGACATCCTAGTGATGTCTGTGCCATCACAAGTTAAATCTCTCATACTGATTTCACCAGCAGCCTTTCCTTACAAAGTTACACCTGTAAGACTCGAGGCAATATTGAGAGTTTCCCAAAATATGGTAAATCTAAGAACTGGAAGCAAATGAGAACCACTCTGCAGGAAAGCACCCCTCCCAGCAGTCAGGCTAAGAAGAGCCATCATTAATGGTAAACCCCAACTGCAGAAACTCTTCCTCACCAGTTCTGAATCCAGTTCCTGATGCGCCACTGCCTTCTGTTGATGTTGTAGCCTCTGAAGGAAGTAAATGGTGAAGGGTGAGGAATGAGGATTTGTGATATGAGAGAAGAATTATGTTGATATTTTATCCGTGGAGACATAATGATATTGGGTTTAAAAGTGGAGATTTCTTCTTTTTAACCTATATGTGTGGGAACCCCCAGATATAATGATTTTCCTAGTGAATTCCTGTGTAGGACTTAAAAATGAGAAAGATAAAGCCATCAACACAGTATTAGCTCCCTCTTCAGGACTGAAGCAGCTGTGTGTCCTTGAATGACCAGAAGACCTTTTCTTAGGATCTCTGTTTCAGAGGGAACATAACTGTCCATATCTTTCCACAATGTCCTTCCTTGCCCCACCTATGGATTATTGTTGCTACTGGAATTCCCTTTTCCAAGATCCTAGTGAAAGAGAAAGGAGGTCTTATGTCACCCTCACCTGTTCCACTTCCAGTCCCTGGACTCCCAGGTGTGACAGAGGTGCCTAAAGGAAGAAAAAGGCAGATGATGCTTCATCTTTGTAAAAGTTCGTCATCAATTACCTGAAGGCTTTTTCACACTGTAAGGTATAAAGTAGAATTGTGTGACTCTAACACTCTCATATGGTGAATTACTTAGTTACCCTACCTGGCTTGGTTTTCTGTGAACTGCTGCTGGCTCCAGGTGAAAGTGTTGTGGTACCTACTAAAGCAAGTAGTGTGAGCTTCAAAATCAATACACATTTCATGATTCCACAAATATTTATTAAGCATCTTTTCTGTGAAATAATTTTTTAGGCATTTGGATATATCAGTGAACAGAATATTCAAAGATCCCTCCCCTCATTTGGCTTACATTCTAGCAGCTGGAGACCAACAGTGATCAACAAACACGAAAAGTCAAAGTGACAGATGTTAGTAAAGGCTATAAATAAATGTCCAACCATATATAAAGGTTGGGACCTTGATAGGCAGGGGCAGGGCCACAGGGTGGCCTTGTACCTGCCAATCAAAGAACTAGCTCTGTAGGCCTGGGCTTTGCAATCTAGATGGGAAATATGAGAATATGGTTTTCAGGCTTATCAAAGTTTGTGACTCTGGCATGCTGTGTTCCCCATGGAAATATAGGCCCATTTCCTTCGCCTTCAAGTGTTTTCTTCCCACTCAAGTATTTATTCTACCACGCATACAGGGATTTGATTCAAAACCCCAGAGATTCAGTTTAAAATAAAACTCACCTCCTAAACGTCCTGCTTGGGTAGTTCCACTTCCTTCCGTGGAAGTCGTGGCCTCTGATAGAGAAGGGAAGGAGTAAGACTAGGTGGTGGGAAAGAACACACTTGGCTATTGTCAGAATAGATCATACAAGCTGCCAATGTCAAGTTTTTACTGTATTTTCAGATTTGCCTGTGGCATACATTCCAGTTTCCAGAGTTTTTGCAGAGACTTTTCCAATATTACTTACAAGAAGAAAATGGTGGTGATCCTAGCTCAATTTTTTTTTCATCGCGTGATTTAAATAAAAATCTACATCTTCATGTGATAGCAAACTATAACTTGTGATTTTTACTGCCAAGAAGTCATCCAAAGTGCCCTATGCAAATTTTTTTTTGTATAAATATTTTACTGAGTTCTCAACTATCATGTCTCTTTTTATGGAGGGAACATAGAAATATCTCTCTATATGGTACCTGTTTTTTGGTCATTGGTTAGACTCATGGTCTCTACAGAAGGCCCTTGTACGCTTAGGCAATAAGGAGGCAATGTAATGTGTAGCTTATCTTTGTAAAATCTGAACTTCCCCAGCAGTAACATATATAAATAGTGTAGAAAATTTTTAGAAGACTGCTTTAGGAAGGTTATTATGATATGTAGGTGTTCGCTTAGGAACACTCCCCTGTGTCTATTCCAATTCTAGTTGTACCACTTTGAATGTTGTGGCCACTGGGGAAATTAGGGAAGAAAAGAGTTAATGAAAGAATATTTCAGGATCACTGAAAATACAATGAATAATATCAGTGCAGACAACTAATCTTTGAGAGGGCATGAGAAAATCCTATGTCACCCTGTTGCCTCCCCTATGTTGAAAGTGCCAGGAGCAACAGTTGTGCCAAGGACTACTCTCGTGGTGCCTAAAACACAAAAGGTGTAAAATCTTCAACATGTGTCCTGTCCATCTCCTGACGTCCTCCCTCCATAAGGGCTCTAGGTGTATCTTTGTTATAGCAAAGGGCCCTGTCTCTACTTCCTGATGAGGTGAGAATCTGGTTTTATTATGACCTATATCAGTATGAAAGCAATAAAAACAGTAATGTTCTCAGCATGAGAAACTGTCCCAGAAATTCCATTCAGTCAAATATGGCTAAAGAGGGGCCTTTCTCCTACATTCATGTTTCATCCGCACAGTGGTGCCTACCATTCCAGGATAAACAGGAAAGTATTTCAAGGTCCCAGAAAAATATTGATACAATAATTGGCATTTTGAGCGAGAACCGTATGCATAGGATATGCCTGTTTAAGAGTTCACATTGCTTTTCACTCTCCTCATATATATAATATTTCTCATCTCACACTGAAATCCTAGTGATGTCTATGCTATCACAAGTTAAATCTCTCATACTGATTTCACCAGCAGCCTTTCCTTACAAAGTTACACCTGTAAGACTCGAGGCAATATTGAGAGTTTTCCAAAATATGGTAAATCTAAGAACTGGAAGCAAATGAGAACCACTCTGCAGGAAAGCACCCCTCCCAGCAGTCAGGCTAAGAAGAGCCATCATTAATGTTAAACCTCAACTGCGGAAACTCTTCCTCACCAGTTCTGAATCCAGTTCCAGATGTGCCACTGCCTTCTGTTGATGTTGTAGCCTCTTCTGAAGGAAGACAATGGTGAAGGGTGAGGAATGAGGATTTGTGATAGGAGAGAAGAATTATGTTGATATTTTATCCGTGGAGACATAATGATATTGGGTTTAAAAGTGGAGATTTCTTCTTGTTAACCTATCTGTGTGGGAACCCCCAGATATAATGATTTTCCTAGTGAATTCCTGTGTAGGACTTAAAAATGAGAAAGATAAAGCCACCCACACAGCATTTGCTCTCTCTTCAGTACTGAAGCAGCTGTGTGTCCTTGAATGACCAGAAAACCTTTTCTTAGGATCTCTGTTTCAGAGGGAACATAACTGTCCATATCTTTCCACAATGTCCTTCCCTGCCCCACCTATGGATCATTCTTGCTACTGGAGTTCCCTTTTCCAAGACCGTAGTGAAAGAGAAAGGAGGTCTTATGTCACCCTTACCTGTTCCACTTCCAGTCCCTGGACTTCCAGGTTTGACAGAGGTGCCTAAAGGAAGAAAAAGACAGATGATGCTTCATTTTTGTAAAAGTTCGTCATCAATTACATGGGCTTTGGACTGAGAAGCTTACCTCCTGGCAATCTTCCCTGCGTAGCCTTACTGCCTCCTGTGGAAGTTGTGGATTCTAAGAGAAGCGAAAAAAAAAAAAAAACCAAACTCTTGTTATTCCACCATCTTCTACAGAAGTCCTGGCCCCCAATATAGAGGAAAAGAGGATAGAGATCATTGAAAATTATTTGAGGACCACAGAAAGGTAAGGTAGTTCTGCTACACAGTATAATAATAGAGGAGAAATCTGATCTGATAGATTCCCTGCCCCTTGTTGACTTACCCGTGTTGGAATTGCCAGGTGCAACAGTTGTGCCAACAGCTGGCCCAGTGGTGCCTGAAACACAAAAGTTCTGAGATCTTCAAAGGTGCCTCTCGTTGACTCCTATACAGCTCTTAAAGAGCTGCCTCTAGATTCTGCCTCTAGAATCTAAGTGTATCTTTCTTATATCAAAGGGCCCTTTCACTACTTCCTGATGAGGGACAATCATATACCTTTCCTATAATCCATATCACTAAGAAAGTAGTAAAAACTGCAATATTTCCCATGTAAGGCATCCTCTACAGATATTCCATTCACTTAAAATGAAGAAGAAAGCTGGGTTTCTCCCAGGCTCACCTGTCACACTCCCAGTTGCTTGGCCTGGTGGCACTGCAGTGGCGACTAATGTGAGAGGAAAACCAGAAAATGATTTGAATGTGCCAAAAAATACTGACTATCCCTATTGCACTTTCAAGCAAGAGGACCTATATGCAGCACAGGCTTAAGAGTTCACATTGCTTTCTCTTCTACCCACATATAGAATATTTCTTGGGTCTTCTATCATCTTAGTGATGTATATGCCATCAAACAGGAAACCTTTTACAGGGATTTCACCAATAGCCATTCCTAAGGAAGTTACAGCTGTGAGGCATGAGCAGGCATTGACAGTTTATTGCTACTATGTTAAATCAAAGAAAATACTGAGTAAATACAAACAACTCTGCAGAAAGAACACCTCCAAAATGGGAGCTTGTGGAGAGTCCTAATGAATGGTAAACCCCAACTGTGAGGTACTCATTCTCACCTGGTCTGGATCCTGTTCCAGGAGTGCCAGCTGAAGGAAGAAATAAGGAATGGAGAGGTCAGAGGATTTGGGATATTAGGGAAAAAATTACTGACATATTAGTTCAGAACAAGAATACTAACTACAGTACGGGGTTAAATACGAAGATTTCTTCTCCTTATCCTACCTGTGTGGGAACTCCCAGGTATAATAGTTGGCCTAGAGAATTTCCCTCAATAGGCCTATTTAAGAGTTCTCATTGTTTTGGCTCCTATCCAGAGACATAATATTTCTCAGCTTCTCCTAACATCTTAGTGAGGGGTATGCCATCACAGGATAAACCTCTCCTATTGATTCTACCACCAGCCCCTCTTTAGAATGTTACAATAGGAATGACTAGAAGCCAGTGTTGAAAACTTTTCCAAAATGTTACATCTAAGAACTGGCAGCATGTGTGAACCACTCTGCAGGAAAGCTCACCTCCCAGCAGGCCAGGTTAACAATAGTCCTAGTCAATATTAAACTCCCAGCTGCAGGAGCTCTTACTCACCACCTCTGAATCCAGTTCCAGAAGTGCCACTGCTTTCTGTTAACGTTGTGGCCTCTGATGAAAGAAAATGTTGAAGGGTGAAAATGGAGGAATTGGGATATTAGGAAAAGGATTGTTTGATATTTTATCAGAGCAGAACTAATATCTACATTATGGTTTTAAATATGGAGATTTCTTCTTGTTAACCTACCTGTGTGGGAACTCCCAGGTATAATGGTTGTCCTGGGGAATTCCTGTGGAGCACCTAAAGATGACAAAGATAAAGGCATCAACAGAGCATTAGCTCCCTCTTCAGGACTGAAGCAGCTGTGTGTCCTTGAATGACCAGAAGACCTATCCTTAGCTTCTCTGTTTCAGAGGGAGCTTAGCTGTCCACAACTTTCCACAATGTCCTTCCCTGCCCCACCTATGGATCATTGTTGCTACTGGAGTTCCATTTTTTATTGATGCCAGGGAAAGAGAAAGGAGGTCTTATGTCACCCTCACCTGTTTCACTTCCAGTCCCTGGACTCCCTGGTGTGACAGAGGTGCCTAAAGGAAGAAAAAGGCAGATGATGCTTCATCTTTGTAAAAGTTTGTCATCAAATACCTGAAGGAGTTTGACACTGCAAGGTTTAAAGTGGAAATGTGTGACTCTAATACTCTCATGTGGTGAATTTTCTTAGTGACCCTACCTGGCTTGGTTTTCTGTGAACTGCTGCTGTCTCCAGGTGAAAGTGTTGTGGTACCTATTAAAGCAAGTAATGTGAGCTTCAAAATCAATACACATTTCAAGATTCCACAAATATTGATTAAGCATCTTTTCTATGTAATAATAGTTTAGGCATTTGGATATATCAGTGAGCAGAATATTCAAAGATCCCTCCCCTAATGTGGCTTACATTCTAGCAGCTGGAGACCAACAGTGATCAACAAACATGAAAAGTCAAAGTGACAGATGTTAGTAAAGGCTATAAGAAAATGTCCAACCATATATAAAGGTTGGGGCCTTGTTAGGCAGGAGCAGAGGCACAGGTGGCCTCATACCTGCCAATCAAATAATTAGCTCTGAAGGCCTGGGCCTTGCAGTCTAGATGGGGAATATGAGAATATGATTTTCAGGCTTAATCTAAGTTAGTGACTCCGGCATGCTGTGTTCCCTTAGGAAATACAGGCCATTTCCTTTGCCCACCTTCCCACTTATGTGTTTACTCAACACACGAACAGGGAGTTGGTTAAAAACCCCAGAGATTCAGTTTAAAAAAAAACTCACCTCCTACAAGTCCTGCTAAGGTAGTCCCACTTCCTCCCGTGGAAGTCGTGGCCTCTGATAGAGAAAAGAAGGGAAGGAGTAAGACTAGGTGGTGGGAAAGAGCACACTTGGCTATTGTCAGAATAGATCATAGAAGCTGCCAATGTCAAGTTTGTACTGTATTTCCAGATTTGCCTGTGACATGTCTGCCAGCTTCCAGAGGTTTTCCAGAGACTTTATCAGTATTACTTATAAGAAGAAAATGGTGGTGATCCTAGCTCAGTTGTTTTTTCACTGCACGATTTAAATAAAAATCTACATCTTCATGTAATACCAAACTATAACCCTGTGACTTTTAGTGATAAGAATTCATCCTTATGTGCCCCACGTAACTTTTTTTTTCTATAACCATTTTACGGAGTTCTCAACTATCATGTCTCTTTTTATAGCGGGAAGAGAGAAATCTCTCTCTATATACTACGTATTTATTTGTCATTGTTTAGACTCATGGTTGTCTACTGAAGGCCCTTGTAAGCTCAGGCAATAAGAAGGCAATGTAATGTCTAGCTTATCTTTTAAAAACCTGAACTTTCACAACATAACATATATAAATAGTGTAGAAAATTTTTGGAAGATTGCTTTAAGCAGGTTATCATGAAATGTAGATGTTAGCTTAGTACCACTCCCCTGTGTCTATTCAAATTCTAGTTGTGCCACTTTGAATGTTGTGGCCACTGGGGGAAATAGGGTGGAAAAGAGGTAATGAAAGAATATTTCAGGATCACTGAAAATTCATGGTGGTAGTCCTGCAATGAGTAAAATCAGTGCAGACAACTAACCTGTGAGAGGGCATTAGAAAATCCTATGTCACCCTTTTCTTCCCCTAATTTGGAAGTGCCAGGAGCAACAGTTCTGCCAAGGGCTATTCCAGTGATGCCCAAAACACAAAAGTTTTGAGATATTCAACATGTGTCCTGTCCATCTTATGACGTCCTCCCTCTAGAAGGGCTCCATATATATCTTTGATATAGCAAAGGGCCCTGTCTCTTCTTCCTGATAAGGTGAGAATCTGGTTTTAATATGATGAATATCAATAAGAAAGCAATAAAAACAGTAATGTTCGCAGCATGAGAAACTGTCCCAGAAATTCCATTCGGTCAAATATGGATAAAGAGGGGCCTTTCTCCTACATTCATGTCTCATCCGCACAGTGGTGCATACCATTCAAGGATAAACAGGAAAATATTTCAATGTCCCAGAAAAATATTGATACAATTATTGGCATTTTGAGCAAGAACCCCTCTGCATAGGATATGTCAGTTTAAGAGTTCACATTGCTTTTTCCTCTCCTCATATATATAATATTTCTCATCTCACACTGACATCCTAGTGATGTCTGTGTCATCACAAGTTAAATCTCTCATACTGATTTCATCAGCAGCGTTTCCTTACAAAGTTACACCTGTAAGACTGGAAGCCAATATTGAGAGTTTTCCAAAAAAATTAAATCTAAGAAAAACTGGAAGAAAATGAGAACCACTCTGACAGAAAGCACCCCTCCAAGCAAGCCAGGGTAAGAAGAGCCATCATTACTGGTAAACCCCAACTGCGGAAACTCTTCCTCACCAGTTCTGAATTCAGTTCCAGATGTGCCACTGCCTTCGGTTGACGTTGTAGCCTCTGAAAGAGGAAAATGGTGAAGGGTGAGGAATGCGGATTTGAGACATGAGAGAAGAATTATGTTGATATTTTATCAGTGGAGACATAATGATATTGGGTTTAAATGTGGAGATTTCTTCTTGTTAACCTATATGTGTGGGAACCCCCAGATATAATGATTTTCCTAGTGAATTCCTGTGTAGGACTTAAAAATGAGAAAGATAAAGCCATCAATACAGCATTAGCTCCCTCTTCAGGACTGAAGCAGCTGTGTGTCCTAGAATGACCAGAAGACCTTTTCTTAGGATCTCTGTTTCAGAGGGAACATAACTGTCCATATCGTTCCACAATGTCCTTCCCTGCCCCACCTATGGATCATTGTTGCTACTGGAGTTCCCTTTTCCAAGATCCGAGTGCAAGAGAACGGAGGTCTTATATCACCCTCACCTGCTCCACTTCCAGTCCCTGGACTCCCTGGTGTAACAGAGTTGCCTAAAGGAAGAAAAAGGCAGATGATGCTTCATCTTTGTAAAAGTTTGTCATCAATTTCCTGAAGGCTTTTGACACTGCAAGGTTTAAAGTGGAAATGTGTGACTCTAATACTCTCATGTGGTGAATTTACTTAGTTACCCTACCTGGCGTGGTTTTCTGTGAACTGCTGCTGTCTCCAGGTGAAAGTGTTGTGGTACCTATTAAAGCAAGTAGTGTGAGCTTCAGAATCAATACACATTTCTTGATTCCACAAGTATTGATTAAGCATCTTTTCTATGTAATAATAGTTTAGGCATTTGGATATATCAGTGAGCAGAATATTCAAAGATCCCTCCCCTAATGTGGCTTACATTCTAGCAGCTGGAGACCAACAGTGATCAACAAACATGAAAAGTCAAAGTGACAGATGTTAGAAAAGGCTACAAGAAAATGTCCAACCATATATAAAGGTTGGGACCTTGATAGGCAGGGGCAGGGCCACAGGGTGGCCTCATACCTGCCAATCAAAGAACTAGCTCTGTAGGCCTGGGCCTTGATATCTAGATGGGAAATATGAGAATATGGTTTTCAAGCTTAATCTAAATTTGTGACTCTGGCATGCTCTGTTCCCTGAGGAAATACAGGTCCATTTCCTTTGCCTTCAACTGTTTCCCTCCCACTCATGTGTTTACTCTACTCACAATCAGGGATTTTATTCAAAACGCCAGAGATTCAGTTAAAAATAAAACTCACCTCGGACAAGTCCTGCTTGCGTAGTCCCACTTCCTTCCGTGGAAGTCGTGGCCTCTGAGAGAGAAAAGAAGGGAAGGAGTAAGACTATGTGGTGGGAAGGAACACACTTGGCTATTGTCAGAATAGATCATACAAGCTGCCAATGTCAAGTTTGTACTGTATTTTCAGATTTGTCTGTGGCATACATTCCAGGTTCCAGAGGTTTTCCAGAGACTTTTCCAATATTACTTAGAAGAAGAAAATGGTGGTGGTCCTCGCTCAATCGTTTTTCACTGCATGATTTAAATAAACATCTACATCTTCATCTGATAGCAAACTATAACCCTGTCACTTTTACTGCCAAGAAGTCATCCAAAGTGCCCTATGCAACATTTTTTTTTCTATAGCTATTTTACCTAGTTCTCAACTATCATGTCTCTTTTTATGGAGGGAACATAGAAATATCTCTCTATATGCCACCTTTTTATTGGTCATTGTTTAGACTCATGGTTGTCTACTGAAGGCCCTTGTACGCTTAGGAAATAAGGAGGCAATTTAATGTGTAGGTTATCTCATTAAAATCTGAACTTTCCCAAGAGTAACATATATAAATAGTGTAGAAAATTTTTGGAAGACTGTTTTAAGGTTATTATAATATGTATGTGTTAGCTTAGGAACACTCCCCTGTGTCTATTCCAATTCTAGTTGTACCACTTTGAATATTATGGCCACTGGGGAAAATAGGGTAGAAAAGAGGTAATGAAAGAATATTTCAGGATTACTGAAAATACAATAAATAATATCAGTGCAGACAACTAATCTTTGAGCGGGCATGAGAAAATCCTATGTGAACCTGTTGCCTCCCCTATGTTGGAAGTGACAGGAGCAACAGTTGTGCCAAGGGCTATTCTAGTGGTGCCTGAAACACAAAAGGTTTGAGATCTTTAACATGTGTCCTGTCCATCTCCTGACGTCCTCCCTCCAGAAGGGCTCTAGGTGTATCTTTGTTATAGCAAAGGGCCCTGTCTCTACTTCCTGATGAGGTGAGAATCTGGTTTTATTAGGACCAATATCAGTAAGAAAGCAATAAATACAGTAATGTTCTCAGCAAGAGAAACTGTCCCAGCAATTCCATTCAGTCAAATATGGTTACAAGGGGCCTTTCTCCTACATTCATGTCTCATCCGCACAGTGGTGCCTCCCATACAAGGATAAACAGGAAAATATTTCAATGTCCCAGAAAAATATTGATACAATTATTGGCATTTTGAGCGAGAACCCTGTGCATAGGATATGCCTGTTTAAGAGTTCACATTGCTTTTCCTTCTCCTCAGATACATAATATTTCTCATCTCACTGACATCCTAGTAATGTCTATGCAATCACATGTTAAATCTCTCATACTGATTTCACCAGCAGCCTTTCCTTACAAAGTTACACCTGTAAGACTAGAAGCCAATATTGAGAGTTTTCCAAAATATCCTAAATCTAAGAACTGGAAGCAAATGAGAACCACTCCCATCAGTCAGGCTATGAAGAGCCATCGTTACTGGTAAACCCCAACTGCAGAAACTCTTCCTCACCAGTTCTGAATCCAGTTCCCGATGTGCCAGTGCCTTCTGTTGATGTTGTAGCCTCTTCTGAAGGAAGACAATGGTGAAGGGTGAGGAATGAGGATTTGTGATAGGAGAGAAGAATTATGGTGATATTATATCAGTGGAGACATAATGATATTGGGTGTAAATGTGGAGATTTCTTCTTGTGAACCTATCTGTGTGGGAACCCCCAGATATAATGATTTTCCTAGTGAATTCCTGTGTAGGACTTAAAAATGAGGAAGATAAAGCCATCAACACAGCATTAGCTCCCTCTTCAGGCCTGAAGCTGCTGTGTGTCCTTGAATGACCAGAAGACCTTTTCTTAGTATCTCTGTTTCAGAGGGAACATAACTGTCCATATCTTTCCACAATGTCCTTCCCTGCCCCACCTATGGATCATTCTTGCTACTGGAGTTCCCTTTTCCAAGATCCTAATGAAAGAGAAAGGAGGTCTTATGTCACCCTTACCTGTTCCACTTCCAGTCCCTGGACTTCCAGGTTTGACAGAGGTTCCTAAAGGAAGAAAAAGACAGATGATGCTTCATTTTTGTAAAAGCTCGTCATTAATTACATGGGCTTTGGACTAAGAAGCTTACCTCCTGGCAATCTTCCCTGCGTAGCCTTACTGCCTCCTGTGGAAGTTGTGGATTCTAAGAGAAGGGGGAAAAAAAAAACTCTTGTTATTCCACCATCTTCTACAGAAGTCCTGGCCCCCAATATAGAGGAAAAGAGGATAGAGATCATTGAAAATTATTTGAGGACCACAGAAAGGTAAGGTAGTTCTGCTACACAGGATAATAATAGAAGAGGAATCTCATCTGATAGATTCCCTGCCACCTTGTTGACTTACCTGTGTTGGAACTGCCAGGTGCAACAGTTGTGCCAACAGCTGGCCCAGTGGTGCCTGAAACACAAAAGTTCTGAGATCTTCAAAGGTGCCTCTTGGTGACTCCTATACAGCTCTTAAAGAGCTGCCTCTAGAAAGAATCTAAGTGTATCTTTCTTATATCAAAGGGCCCTTTCACCACTGCCTGATGAGGTGACAATCATATACCTTTCCTATAATCCATATCATTAAGAAAGTAGTAAAAACTGCAATATTTCCAATGTAAGG